TCCCAGGGCCCAGTGGCGTGGCCTAGCGGCTAAAGTCCTTGCCTTGAACACTGCAGAATCCCATATGGGTGCCGGGCCCAATAAATAAATCTTAAAAAAAAAAAAAAAAAAAAGAATTGGGCCCGGCGCAGTGGCGCAAGTGGTTAAAGGTCCTCGCCTTGCACGCCCGGGATCCCATATGGGCGCCAGTTCTAATCCTGGCAGCCCCGCTTCCCTTCCAGCTCCCTGCCCGTGGCCTGGGAAAGCAGTCGAGGACGGCCCAAAGCTTTGGGACCCTGCCCCGCGTGGGAGACCCGGAAGAGGCTCCTGGCTTCGGATCGGCATAGTATCGGCCCGTTGCGCTCACTTGGGGAGTGAATCATCGGACGGAAGATCTTCCTCTCTGTCTCTCCTCTCTGTCTATCCGCCTTTCCAATGAAAAAATAATAAAAATAAATCTTAAAAAAAAAAAAAAAGAAAAAATAATAAAAATAAATCTTTATTTAAAAAAAAAAGAATTCTGTATTCCCCATTTTCTCAATGTCTTCCTAAGTTAACTCTGAAGTTGGCAAAGGCTTTTGCTCCTTTGCAGGGCAGTCTTCAGTAACATTCATTGTGCCTTGGTCATTCTTTTGTTCTTGGTCATTGTACTTCTGGTTAGCAGAGTCTTCTCCTTGGGGCAGGTTTCCAAGCTGTGTCACCCACAGGTCTACAATTAGATTTTACTTGTTGCAGTTGGTGCACAACTCTTTGTTTGCAGTCACTTGTGCCACTCCCTCCAGGGAGTTCCAGGTCTGGGTTATTATATGAGATTTCCACCATGGTCTCCACAGCCCCAGCTCATGGCTCACCACTCTCCACCTCCTGTGATACCGTGCTGAGGCTGCACTGTTGTCTGTACAACCTTTCTCCCACTTAAAGTTGGAGTAGGTCCAGGATTTGGGAGACACCAGGTGTCCATACAGTTAGGTTGTTGGTGGTGCTGATCTTGCCGGAACCTGTTGGCTGTTAGGTCTGAGGGGCACATGGACCTATTTTGACCCATATAATGCCATAGTCAATATTATTTTCCTGTGGGACCAGTGCAATGCTCTGAGCTCAGTGAGTTCTTGCCGAGTTCGGTATATGCACAGCTCACTGTTGTCCCCTGCAATCTTAAATTCTTTGCCACACTGTAAGAAATGGCGCCTGATGTGCCACTACCAGAGCTCTTGATCTGCTGGCTGTCAGGTCTGAGGGCTACCCGGACCTGTCTTGGGTGAAACCTGTAGGATGCCATGTTGCTGCAGTTCACTGAGTCAGAAATGAGTTCACTCCCAGCTCAGAGCATGTGCAGTCCTGCTCCATAACCTTTGCCTTCCTATACAAAATGGTGCCCGATTCAGCTCTGGGAGGTTTACTGGGTTATGACATCTACGCTGTTCCTGCACTGCCCTTCTGGCACGTGTGGCTTTATCTCTGCTCCTGGTCAAATCAAACAGACCAGCAGGATGGATCAGCTTCTTTTTTTTTTTAAAAGATTTTTTATTATTATTATTGGAAAGGCGGATATACAGAGAGGAGGAGAGAGAGAGAGGAAGATCTTCTGTCCGATGATTCACTCCCCAAGTGAGCGCAATGGCCGATGCGCGGGTGCAGGGTCCCAAAGCTTTGGGCCGTTCTCGACTGCTTTCCCAGGCCAAAAGCACGGAGCTGGATGGGAAGCGGAGCTGCTGGGATTAGAACCGGCGCCCATATGGGATCCCGGGCGTGCAAGGCGAGGACCTTAACCACTGCGCCATCACGCCAGGCTCAGGATGGGCAGTTCTTTTTCTGGGTTCACCTCTGGAGCTCCTGGTAAATGTCCCTTCCCACCTGGCTGCTGGTGGAATTCTGATCGCTTCTGGCTGAATGACGCTGGGGTATCAGTCACTGCAACACCACACTGTTGTGTCTGCTGCCGTCCTGTGTCTGTCAGTCTCCAGGTGCCCCTCTGCTGCTGTTCTGTCTTCTTCTATTTCCTGGAATCTACCCTATCTGCTTTTCACGGGCTCATGTTTTCTGAATTAAATATTTGTAAGGGGCACAGATGATCAGACTTGTGGTCTTGAGAACATCTGGCCACCAGTGGAGGGGGATGGCACAATCTAGGTGGGCTTCTCATAGGAGGTGGTGTTGGAGCCCAGCCTTGAGGACAGGGAGAGATGGAAGTGGGAGTCCTGCAAAGAAAAGCAGCCAGAGGCTGCTGTGCAGGCCCTTTGAGGGTTAGGGGAGAGGACAGAGTGGCCCTTTGCTCCAGGAGCCAGCATCCACTGCAGCTCTTCCTCTGTCGCCCTGCAGGGACTCCCAAAACCCTGCAGAGTTCCACACACCGCCAGCAGGGGGCGCCTGTGGACAGCTCTGCGCCACCCCACATCCACACACCCCGCAGGGGTCAGCTTGCCAGGTGCAGACGCCCCGGGCTGTGACCTGCCAAGCAATCCTTGGGTTCCTGAGATGAGAAACTTATCTGAAGTGTCCAACTTTGCTTTAATGGGGCTGGCACCATGGCACAGTAGGCAGACCAGCCTCCACCTGCAGCACCGGCAGCCCACATGGAGCCAGCTCATGGCCCCAGTGGTTCCACCTTCGACCCAGTTCCCTGATTCTACGAAAGCAGCACAGGATGGCTCAAGTGCCCTGGGCCTCTGCCATCCACGTGAGAGACCTGGGTGGGATTCTAGGCTCCCGGCTTCGGTCTGGCCCAGGCCGGGCCAGTTGCAGCCGTTTGGAAAATGAGCCAACAGCTGAAAGATCTCACTGTTTGTACTGCTGCTGTAGTAATAATAACGGCCCGGCTGACAGGAGGGCATGCGGCAGCCATGTGTGCTCACCCGAGGGTGACAGCAGGTGAATCATCAGGCTGGGCGAGCCTGGCCGAGCGCCTGTGACTCAGCAGGTTCTTACTGGGCCAGACTTAGCAGGATGTGGGGGACCAGAAGGGGCTGAGTCCGTTGCAACTGCGCATGCCAAGACGGGACCTTGAGAACTGCCAGATGTGTTTTTCCCACCTTTGAACCAGGGTCAGGGGCAGCCTGCATCTTAAACATTAGGCTTGTCGGAGGAGCTGGACTACAGAGAGCTCAGCACAGGCTGGGCACAGGGTCAGGGCCTCTTCGTCCCATTTTCTTCACACAGCCCCTGTCCTAAGTCAGACTGGTAGCTAGGGGCTGACCCAAGGAAGGCCCAAAACTCAGAGCAGGTGGGGCAGGAGGCATGACCTACAGAAGGCTGGATGAGCCCGGAACTGTAGCCAGCACTCCTCCATCACAGACCAGGGAGCCCCACGGAGCAGCTGCCCAAGCGGCTGGCACCTGGCTTTTGGTCCAGCCTTGACTGGGAGCTCTGGGACAGGAAAGCAGAGTGGTCAAGTCCCAGCTCTCCCACTTACTGGACAGGCTTTCCAAGCCTCAGTGTTCTGATCTGGGGAATGGGATAACCACTCCCAGTTCATCAAACCATCCTGAGATTTGAATGAACTTGGTGGAAGAATTAGCCGTGGAATCAGCAAAAACGCCGAGCCAATGGACGTTAGAGCCAGAAGGAGTACGGCCCGCCTGGAAAGGTCCCTTCCCACTCTGCCGCTCTGCCCAAGATCCACTTCCTTTGCCTTGTTTTGTGGGAAAGAGCTGCTACTGGCAATCTATCAATCATGCCCACTCTTGCGATTTCACTTTCCTTTCTTTTTTTTTTTTTTACGATTTACTTATTTTTAATGAAAAGTCAGATTTACAAAGAGGAGAATCAAGAAAAAGGATCTTCCATCCACTGGTTTACTCCCCAGGCTGTCACAACAGCAGGAGCTGAGCTGACCCAAAGCCCGGAGCCTGGGGCTTCTCCTGGGTCTCCCACGGGAGGGACAGGCATCCACACACTTGGGCCATCCTCGCCACCTTCCCAGGCGCACCTCGCTTGCTGTGTACCTGCTGGGTGCCACTCCCTGCAGGCCACATTTAGTGAGGACAGCATTGGCTTATTTCCTGCTCCCTGTCACAGACGAGGAAGTGGAGGGGCCTAAGGTCACAGAGCCTTGTGTGACAAAGGTACAGCTTACCCTGAGGCAGCGTGCTCCGGGCCTGAAGTGTGCCGGTTACGCTGGGCAGGCACTAGGCCTGGAGAGGCACTTGGCGCTGGGATTCCTCATCGGAAGCTCGCCTGCCTCCTCCCTCTGACTTCCTCCTCCCAATGACTTCATGTAGTAAGACACACTTCACATATAATGTACCAGCATGGTGGCTTAGCACAGCAATCCTCTGCCTTCCGTGCCAGCATTCCATATGAGCAGTAGTTCAAGTCCCGGCTGCTCCAATTCCCATCCAGCTCCCTGCTTGTGGCCTTAGAGGAGGATGGCCCAAGTCCCTGCATCTACATGGGAGACATGGAGGAAACTCCTGGCTTCAGATTGGCTCAGCTCTGATCCTTGCGGCCCTTTGGGGAGTGACCCAGCAGATGGAAGATGTGTGTCTCTCCTTCTCTCTCTGTAATTCTGTTTCTCAGACAAAAATACATCAATCTTTATAGACAAAAAAAAAGTACCATTGCAGCCCTGGTTTAAGTCCAGCTCAGCATGGTCGCATTCCTTAGTCATGTTACACCACCAGGTTCCAGAACTCTCTTCAACAAAACTGAACAGCTACAGCTGCCCATCAGTGACTGTCCAGCTGCTGGCCCTCACAGTCCTGCTGTGTGTCCCCATGACTTCATTCTAGATTGGGGCTGTCCTAATTCTTTGTTGGTGGTGGGATCAGGGAAGGCTACCTGGAGGCGGAGAACACAGAGGCAATATTGTTTTGTACGTGGCCCAGCACTCCTTGCCCCAGCGGTGGGGAAGGTGACTCAAACATGTTCCACTTGCCCACCTGCCCTTTGGTTTATGGCAGCCACCTCAGCGGCTCCGACCTTTGCCCCCAAGGTGATCCCCTGCCAGGCGGGCAGAGGCTGTCTCAGAAGTCAGCCACATGCCAAGGGACTGACACCACCCTGCACCTGCCGCCCTCGCAGTCATGGTCACGGGAATGCGCAGCCAGTCCTTGCGAGGACCCCGGCCCACCTATGGAAAGCTCCAAGACTGCCAGGGGAGACCCCTGGAGGGCCGACCACGCCGAGCACTGAGCCTGCGGCAGGAGCGGAACAGGGGACAGCAGGGCGCCGAGGGAGACCCAGAAGGGCCCAGCCCCGCTGCTCAGGAGTGGCTGCCAGGGGGCCCCGGGGACACGGAGCAGCTGATCCAAGCGCGCCGAGGCAGCGGACGGTGGCTGAAGCAGTACCGACAGGTACGGGCCGAGGGCAGAGGGGGGTTCGGGAGAGCAGCCCGGGGCAGTGAGAGGAGAGCAGACATGCCTTGGGGACTGGGGGCGAAGGGGCAAGTGTCCAGAGCCAGAGCTGACACCTGCAGGGTCTGGAGGCGTTGTGGGACGCACTTCATGGAAGGTTTGGGGTGAAGTGATGAGGCCAGGGGAGACCTGAGAAGACTGACAGCGGCCACAGAGCTGGGGGCAGGAGATGGACCGGTCAGACTGAGTATCCAACCCTGCTGGCCTCAGGCAAAGGGGCCAAAGCCGCTGTAGGCCCAAGGCCGCCTCTTCCCGTTAGGAATGGGCTAGGGGCCCCCCTCTCTCTCTCTCTCTCTCTCTCTCTCTCTCTCTCTCTCTCTCTCTCGTCTACCCCCACCTCGTGGCTGTGGCTGGAACGACAGCCTATGCCCACCCCCCTCCATCCTGCATCCTAATTGGCACCTGCTCTGTGTTACAGCAGATGAAGAGGAGGTGGGAGAGCCTGGTGGCCAGCATCCCCGGTCTCACCCTGAGCCGATCGTCCGCCTCCCAGGAGCCGCTGGACACTGCCAGTTAAACACGCGCCAGGCCTGGCACGCCATGGCGCCCCTGAGCCACCTGCCTCTGCCTGCTCCAGTCCCCTCCAAGCAGCCTGTCCCAACCTCCCCGCGGAGGGCTGTGCCACCAGCAGCTCACGGGAGGCCCAGCCTCGGTGAAGACACCCCAAACCCACCCAGGGCTGAGGAGAGGGGCTTGGGACCCCTGGACTACGATGATACTGCGTCGTATGAGGGTCCAAAAGCCGGCTCAGGGGCAGAGTTATTTGGCCCTGGCCCAGCCCGCCCAGGATGAACCGTTTACTTCCAGAGAGAAGCCCAGTGAAGCCACATGCCTGGCTGAGGGGTTCCAGCCAGCACCTGCCGGGAGCTGCCCTGCCATCCTCTGTGGCAGCTGCTGCTTCGTGAGAGAAGGGACTGGACTTCAGCGCCACAATGAAGGGAGTTAGGGAGCCTCCTTTTCCTCTGTGACAGGGTGGGAAACTGAGGCAGGGGGCAAAGGGTCAGCGGCTTGGACATCTCTGCCCCCCACGAGCGTCCAGTGCCCGGCACGGCAGCTGGACACGGTAATAAAGCTGCTGAGCGGCCCACGCCATGACACAGCTTAGTAAAACTGCCACTACGACCCTGCTACCCTGTATGGGCACTGATTCAAGTCTCAGGACGCTGCTTCCCATCCAGCTCCAGCTGAAGGCTTGGGAAAAGCAGCGGAGGACAGATCAAGTGCTTGAGTCCCTGCACCCATGTGGGAGACCCGGAAGAAGCTCCTGGCTCCTGGATTACGCCTCGGCCCGGCTATTACAGCCATGTGGGAAGTGAACCAGCAGATGGAAGTCCCCCTCTCTCTCTGTAACTCTTTCGAATAAATAAACATATATATATTTAATGCTGAACTAAGGGAAATGATCTGTGTATTACTCTCAGAATGTCTAGCGCACCCCCAGTTGACACCTCTGAAACAAGCTGACCCCAAACCCAAGCAGGGCGCCCTCTGAGCTCGCCCAGGGGTCCCCAGAGGCAGCGGGTCTGAGCAAAGAGCCTGCACTCATGGCGTGCACTGGTGCTGCTGCTGGGGAGCTCGTGGGGCTCCTCAGCTTCAAGCAAGCGCAAGAGCAGGGGGCACCCCACTTCCGGGTGTAGATTGCAGGGGGGTCATCTAACAGGCATAGGATGGGTGGCTCCCCTGATCCCCCCAGGATGCAGAAGCAGACCCTGAAGAGGGCAGGGCTCCTCAAGCCAGCCTTCACTCCAGACACCGCTCTGCTGCCTTCCCAACTGACCTACGATAGGCTTGTCTACTTAAATGCTGTTTCCCTTCCACCAAACCCAACCTGTGCACTGGGGCCCAGAGTAGGGTCTGCTTTCCCCTTCTTGAACCTAGAAGGGTCAGGGACCTGCTTCGGCTGATGGAATACAGTGGAAATCCTGTGTTGGAACTCTGAGACCTTGCAGCTCCTGTTCCTACCGCTTGGCTGCAGAGAGACCGCCTGGCAACCAGCACCAGCTGCCAGACACAGAAGCAAGGCCGTGGCCTGGCCCCCAGCTGACTGCAGCTTGGGTGACCCCACTGATACAACAGGCAGCGGGGAAAACGCCCAGCTGACCCCAACCCCCAGAACCGAGGCTTTAAGAAACACCTGCATACCACGAGGATTGGGTAGCAAATGATCGCACACCGGGTGGCTTAAAACAACAGATGGATTCCCTCACAGCTCTGGAAAGCACAGGGCCAAAATCAAGGGGCCAACCTCCCCAAGACTGGCACAACGCCTCAACAAGCTAATCCTGCAGCTCACAGCATTATCATCCCATGTGGACACCTGCTTGAATCCCGGCAGCTCCGCTTCCCATCCAGCTCCCTGCTTGTGGCCTGGGAAAGCAGTGGAGGACGGCTTCAAGTCATTTGGTCCCTGAATTCACTCGGGAGAACTGGAGGAAGCTCCTGCTTCCTGGCTTCGGATGAGCTCTGCTCTGGCCGTTGATGCCATTTGGGAAAATAAACCAGTAGATGGAAGATGTCTCTCTCTATATATATAAATTTGCCTTTCAAATAATAATTAAAAAAAAATCTTAAAAGCACACCAGCACACCACCCCACACACACACACGCACACACACATACAATCTTCCCTGACTGCAGCATCAGGTCTTAGCTGGCAACCCCTTGCATCTGTGGCCAGGGGGTCCTCCACCCCCGTCTCTGCCTCTGCCACCTCCCCGTGTCTGTGCCCAAATTTCCCTCTCCAATTGCCTCAGACTTAGGGGCCACCCTAATCCAAGACGACCCCACCTGACCTTCGTGGTGTCTGTCAAGGTCCGATTCTCAAATGTGGTGACCTTCTCATTTCATAGGCAGACACAGGCCTTGGGGGCGGGGTAGTGACTGAGCTCAGGATGCGGGGTACCAGTTAACCAGAGCACACACGTCCTCCAGGAGCCCAGGGCAGGGGGCGCTCAGAGCCAGGGGACTCCTTCTTGAGGACAATAGAGAACAAGTGGTAGATTTGCCTTCTTGGAGTTGGAGCTCTGCGGGGTGGGGGGTCACCCCTGCTGGGTGGGGTCGTGCCACCTGCACCTGAGACTATCAGAAAACCAGCCTGCAGGTTTGAGAGGCTCAGCGATTCTGAACGGGGCTAGCACACGCTGGTGAACGCCCAGGCATGAGTGACTGGGTTCAATACTCGCTGCTGCTGCTCCAGCTGCCTGCTAAACAGAGCCCAAGAGGCAGCGAGGGGTTGGGTTCTGTCACCCGCGTGGGAGTCCCACATGGAGTCCCTGGGCCCCTGGCGTTAGCCTGTTAGACTCGGGGAGAGTCCAACCCCGTGCAAGGGAGCCGTACCGTTCGGCAAGACAAGTCGCGAGGCAGAGGCTGCAATAAGCTTGAGGATTTTATTTAACATTCACGAATGGGCAACAGAGTCTCTGGAGGCACCCAGGACTGTGCGTGCCTCACATGCATTTTGGAACAGTTTTTATAGGGCAAAATCACAAACTCTGCATAACAGTCAGCATTTCTCAACTGTTGACAGTCTGCATTCCTCTCTTAGGACTAGGTGACCCGGTACTTTCTCAAACGTCTTATCTCTCTGTAACTGTCTCACTCTCTTATCCTCTCTATTCCTGCAACAGCCTTGCTGCATCGGCCTTGCTTCCGCATCTTCTCCATTCTTGCAGCTGCCTTGTTCATGTCTGGGAAACTGAAACTTTAACTTTACTTGCTTCACGAAATGACTTCTCTACACTTGTTCTAACACGGCTGCACTCTTGCTCAGCAGAAAGCGATATACAGAAGCAAAATCAAGCGGTTATTCTAAGCTCTCACAAGCCCAACTGAGCTCCGGCTTCTGCAGGAAAATAAGTAGCAAATAAGAGAAACTCTCAGATCAACATTTAATAATAATAAATACAACCCCTGGAGAACCTGGGCACTTGGACAATGGAAGAGGTCAAAAACCAAGACAGTATTTCTGGAAGGTTCCGGTGGTACACCTTTGCGTGACCACCTCAGGGAGACAGACTCTGCCATTGGATACAATCACTTACCCATTCTGCCTCCATTTCCCCCTTACTTTTATCTTTTTAAATACAATGTAGTGGGCCCGAGCAGCATGGCCTAGCAGCTAAAGTCCTCACCTTGCACGCCCGGGATCCCATATGGGCACTGGTTCTAATCCCGGCAGCTCCACTTCCCATCCAGCTCCCTGCCTGTGGCCCGGGAAAGCAGTCGAGGACGGTCCAAAGCTTTGGGACCCTGCACCCGCGTGGGAGACCTGGAAGAGGCTCCTGGTTTCGGATCGGCATAGCATCAGCTGTTGCGCTCACTTGGGGAGTGAATCATCGGACGGAAGATCTTCCTCTCTCTCTTTCCTCTCTGTATATCCACCTTTCCAATAAAAATTAAAAATAAATCTTTAAAAAAAAAAAAAAAGCTGATCCAGGCTCTTGGTGGTGTCAGGGACACACTTGGCCAGGGGTTTGCCAGTCTGGGCTCCGGGCTTGGCGACGCTTTTCGCAGTCTTCTTTGCCGCCCTATGAGGCTAGCTGGCCTCATCAGGAGCATGCAAGCTCCCCTGCCTTTGGTGGGAGAGGAGCGTGCTGGTGACCCGATGTTGGATTCCAGAACAGTCGGAAGCTAACACCTGGAGAGGCGTTATCCAGGTAAGAGGATGGGGAACTCGCGTTTCAGGTGGAGGAACCTCCGGGGCCAGAGAGGAGGGGGTGTACTTGGGAAGTGTCAGCCCCCCATTGCAATGGCCTAGGACACAGCAAGCAGTCCTGCCTGCCCCGCCTGTAGCTGACACACCGCCCCTCCATCCCTCCTGCCTGACCTCTCTCTCACAGGGCCAGCAGGCAGCTGGGAAGCACACACGTCCTCAGCCAGGCTCTGTGATGCCACCCTTGTAGCCTCAGTTCACTCATCTGTCGGAGAAGTTGACACCCTGGCCTTGCCCACTTTCAAGGGGCACCAGGCTGGGTAAGAAGAAGCCGGGGGTGGGGCAAGGGCTGCCGCGAGCCCAGCAGGGGACATGCTGCACCCACTGGCCTGACCAACACTGTACCGCCCTTGAGGCCTCCCAGCGTTGGGGTGTCAGTGTAGCGTGGACCCAGAGCACAAAGCCGCAGCTCTCAGGGTTTCCCCCTCTCAGGCCGGCGTCCGCCCATCAGCCGTGCTGGGATGCCCTCACTGAGCCTGTGTCCTGCCTCAGCTGCACACAGAACACGCAGCTCCCAGTCCCCCATCCCTTCATGCCAGACGCCTCCCAGCTGGAAGCCCAGCCCACCTAGCTCCAGTCTCCCCTGCCCTTCGTAGCTGCTCCTTGCATGCTGCCAGGACCAGGAACTTTATTCCCCATCATCAAACTGATCTTTGCACACGGCCTCTGCCCTCAGGGAGTCACAGTGGGCGTGGGGAGGCAGACAGACAGATGGACGGACAGAGACCCACCTGCTCTGCTGTGAGGCAGTTGGAGTACTCCCTCATCAGGACAGTGAAGGAGATAATATGGCAGATCCATCCTGG